AGGTTCACCATCATGGCTCAACATCATGTTGATAGTTCCTTCCCTTGTCTTCTGACCTGTCACAACCAGGCATAATATGGTGACTTTTCCTAAGAAGGAAAAAAGCTTTATCTTGAAACTCAGGGTGAGCCACCCTGACAGGTGAAGCATAAACCTCATCGCCACGATCCCTAAACTCACCATAAAACTTACTTTGTCTTTAACTCTCACTTTCTCCAGCTTAGTGTCAGTTTTGAGTCCTCCGAAGGAGACAGAACAGTTTATCCTTCTTTCTTCCGGATTAATTCCAAGAAATCCCCTCAATTTGTCGGTCTAGTTCAGCTGCTCCTGTATTTCCAGTGGAACTGGGTTGGGCTTCTGGCCTCTGAAGGTGACAGTGGAAAACGTTTCATCTCAACTCTGATGCCAATGCTCAAGGAGAAGGACATCTGCCTGGCCTTCCCAGAAATATTCAAATCTGGTATTCCTCTTATTAATGTGTTTGGGTTACATCTTGCTTTCAAGCTTCTGCTTAAAGTTGAAGTGATTATTCTGCTTGGAGACTCCACTACTATTACATTGGTAGTGTTCGCTCTGCAGAATTATGGACGATCCAAATCATTTCGGAATGTTTGGATTATACCTTCTCATTGGGATCTTAGTATGATTGGATCTCAAGATGAATTCCAATATAAAAAGAACTTCCATGGAGCTTTGCATTTTAGGGACCACACCAGGAAAATCCCAGCATTCAACCATTTTCTACTGTCTTTAGATCCTTTGAAACCAGAAGGAGATGACTTACTTCCACTATGGTGGGGAGAAATCTTTACATGCAAAATCCACAAACCGGGAATGATCCCTCCAAAGGGGGCAAAACTATGTACAGGAAAGGAGAATTTGAGGAATTTGCCACTTTATTTATTTGAAACAAGCATGACAGGTGAAAGTTACATTATCTACAATGCTGTTTATGCTGTGGCACATGCTTTACATGCAATGTATGAATCAGGAACTGGAGCAACCATGATGAGGCTCAGAAAGAGGATCTCAAATGTCCAGTCATGGCAGGTAATCTCTCTGACTTTTTTATCCAGTCCACAGATCCTTAGAGAGGAGGAAGCTTCCCATATGCATTTCTTCAATTACTGATTAAATATCTGTATACTCCTGTATCGAGGAATCTGAAAGCCTATTAAAACAGCAATTATAAAAAATATGAATTAAACATAACTTTTTGTTGAAAGGAAATGGGAGGGAAACAGGTGAATGAAATCAGATGTCAGTGAGACCCATTGAGGAAACTCCTATCTATAAGGTCCATTATCTACAATTTATATTTACTACATGCAATGTATGTATCAGGTACTCAACCAACCAGGTTGAGGCTTGGAAAGAAGATCTCAAATGTCCAGCTATGGTAAGTAATCTCCATTTGTGGACTCAGGCCACAAATCCTTAGAGAAAAAAGATTAAATATCTGTATGCTACCCTATCAATGAATCTGAAAGCATATTAAAAAAGCAATCGTTAAAAATATTGAATATAGCATTTTGTTGAAAAGGAATGGGGCTGAGGGGAGAGAAATGAACCAAACCAGTTGTCTGTAAAATCCGTCATGGATACACCTTCCAATAAGGTCCTGAAAGGTCTTCAACAATTACTCGAGTTTCAGAAGGTATCTATCTATCTATCTATCTATCTATCTATCTATCTATCTATCTATCTATCTAACACGTATAAGATTACAGATATAAGTATAAACATGATTATGAATACAGGATAAGGATACGAATAAATGGGGACAGTAGGACAGGGATGGTAGGCACACTGGTGCGCTTATGCACGCCCCTTAAAGACCTCTTAGGAATGGCGTGAGGTCAATAGTAGACAGTCTAAGGTTAAAGTTATGGGGGTTTGGGGAAGTAACCACAGAGTCAGGTAGTACATTCCAGGCATTGACCACTCTGTTGCTGAAGTTGTATTTTCTGCAGTCAAGTTTGGAGTGGTTTACCTTAAGTTTGTATCTATTGTGTGCTCGTGTATTATTGTGGTTGAAGCTGAAGTAGTCATTGACAGGTAGGATGTTGTAGCAGATAATTTTGTGTACTACAGTTAGGTCAGACCGAAGGCGGCGTAGTTCTAAGTTGTCTAAGCCCAACATTTCAAGCCTGGTAGCATAAGGTATTCTGTTGTGAGGAGTGGATGACTCTTCTCATGAAATACCTCTGGACTTGCTCAATTGTATTAATGTCTGATATACAGTGCGGGTTCCAGGCAGATGAGATGTATTCGAGAATTGGTCTAGGAAAGGTTTTGTATGCCCTAATTTACAGTACAATATGACCAGAGAAGAAGCTTCACAAGGTTAGGTTAACAACTCTAAATGACCCAAACCAGTTTTCTGTAAGATCCATCATGGATACAGCTTCCAATAAGGTCCTGAAAGGTCTTCAAGAATTACTCGAGTTCCAGAAGGTGACCATTGCACAAAGGATATGTCAACGCAGAGCAAGATAACAATCTGGGTGTGATTGTGGATGATGTTTAAACAGGTCCTAGTTGAAATTCATGCTGAACCACCTCAGATACACTGAAGACAGCCTGTAGAGTGACACCCAGTTCAATGTAACCTTGGTTTATGTATGGTTTATGTTTTCATGACTTAGTATCCTACATAACACCATACCACCTGTTTAGTTTGCCATTCGTTGTATAGTTCATGTTGTTGTGGGAACTTCAGAATGCAGAGCAGGTTTCTGGTCTGAAATTCATCACATTTTTCTGTCTCAATGGCTAAACATTGAACTTTTTTGGGTAGTTGAGTGACAAACCAGGATAATTACTTCTTTCCATATGGCCCCATTTTTCAGACCTGATTCCTCCATGATGCTCTCCTTGAATATCAGTTAGAGAAAGTCAGTGGAATTACACACTATTATGATAGATATAATTCAATAATTCATAATAATACATTTGTTCTATTAACAAGACCTTGGGCCAAAGGGAGCATTTAGAAATGTACATAGTAAAGTATCAAGGGAGCAAAACCACTCAGTAAAATTTGCTATGTGAAATTAAAATCTTTATATATAAGTATCAATCTGGTAAAAGTAGGATTGAAGTAGACATCATACAACTGCCCAATAATAAAGAAAAACTTTTGTCATATTGGGACAGTGGCCAATTTTATTTTATTCCTTATTGCTCAGATTTCCACTAAAAAACTCTTCAGATATACACCTATCTCTTAAGATGATGACCATCCCAGAATGATAGTGTCAACTCGTAAAGTATTCCTGGCTTACTCTCGAGTTGCCATAGGCAGGAGCGGGGAAAACTGATGGAGCAACATTGCAGCAACCAGAAGCACATTCCATGCATTACTTTCTCAAGGCCACAGCCTAGATTACCAGAGCTAGCTGGAGAAGTGTGTTCTCTACAGCCCATAAAAGTGCTCTGTTGGAGAATGTGATTTATGACATACACTGGGAGGAGGGGAGAAACAGGGTCATAGTTGGGACGTAAATTGCATGGGACACAGCTGAATCCACTTGGGTATGTGCCGACGTGTTGCTCCTAATAAACAACTGGATTTCTTTTGAAACTTAGCTTGAGGCTCATGAATTAATTAGGGCATTCATCGGAATCCTGACAGCTAGAAGCTGTGATGTCTCATTTATGGCTTTCACTCAAGTACTCTTATTTCTAAAGTTACCTTTTCTTTCAGCTTCTTCCATATCTGAGGACTGTCCAGTTCAACAATAATGCTGGAGATGAAATTTCCTTCTCAGAAAATGGTCTGGGATCTGCTCGTTATGATCTTCTTAACTGGGTTTTTCTCCCCAATCGATCTTTTGTCCCCATTAAAGTTGGACAAATAGATCCCGGGGCTCTTCCAGGCCAGGATTTCACCATTAACTCTGATGCAATCATCTGGGCGACACAGGTGAGCTTGAAGCTAAATGCTGTAATATCAAGGTAAGAGTCATTCTTCTATCTTGAAAGAAGGTCTATGTTGTGGCTCCATCCTCCGAACCTATCTTACCAGAGGGAGAAGGCTCCGAACATGAAGGAGAGGAGTTGGCCAGGCCTCCCTCTCCAGGCCCCTCCTCTCTGGCTCTGCCTCAGGTGCCAGCCGAGGAAGAGGAGATTAGCCAGGAGCCAGGTGTCTCCAATGATAGCGATGGAGGCGATCTGGTCGTTCCTGGATCCATGCCAACGAAGGCGTGATAAACGATTGCAGCAGTTGAGGAGGTGTGCCAGGGATTAGTCTGAGTCACTGGACCACACCCCAGAGACTATATAAGAGAGTGTGGTGGCCATTTAAGACTCTGTGACGGACAAAAACTAACTCTGGCTAGTCACTTTGAACAATGCTTAAATCTGCCAAAGGTTTCTTGTTTTGAACTGGACTATTTGCAAACTCTGCCGAAGGTTTCTTGTTTTGAACTGGACTATTTGCAAACTGTGTGTATTTCTGTTTATCTGGTGAAGGGATAATAAGTAAAAAGCACTTGGCAGTCGGTGCTCGTATTGCTGCCAAGTTTTTGATAACAAACTGTGCATGCCAAATGCTTCCTTTAACCCTCGGCTGGCTGTGTATATGTGTGTGTGTGGAGACGGGGGCAGAACAGTCTACTGAATCAGAAAATTTCAGCAGGTCCATCATATATTTTCCATGGATCATTCTGGTTTGGATGGTTCTTCATTATTCTTTGTTTTTAGAAAAGGATTTATTGGTGGGTCGGGAATGCCACTGGCCTGAATCTCCCAAGTGTCAAGGTTCCATCTGACAAACCCAACAAAGCAAGCATTTAAGGGATTGGATTGACTCAACAGCTGTTCCTGGTTTCTTGTTGATCCTAATGAACCGTTTCCTTTGAAGACATTTTTGAGATGGAAATAGGAATCCAGAAACAAATAAATGAAGCATGTTCGTTGCTTAGGCCAACTCAAGCATTTCTCTTTTCTCTTTCAGAAGGTGCCCTTTGCCAGGTGTGGCCTGAAGAGGTGCCAGGCAGGAGAGAGGAGAAGAGTTCCAGAAGGCGAGCAGGTTTGCTGTTACCAATGTGACACTTGTCCAGAAGGGACCGTTTCTAATCAGACAGGTAGAGCAAACCTGCAAAACCTCTTCCCATTGTAGGTCTTCCTGGGAGAAAGAAACTATGACTATCATGCCTGGGAATCCCAGAAGACCTGTGATAGTTCCCTTACTGTGGCTAACATCTTGGTTTCATATTTCATGTGCACAGCTTTATAGTTTTTTAAAAAAATAATAACAACCATTATCAAGTGTTTTGCGTGTATTTATTTGTTTCTATTTTTTTAGTTAAGTGTTGTATACCACCCAGAGTCATTCTCTTATGAGATGGGCAGCTATACAAATATGATAAATAATAAAGTAAATAAACAGGGCAGTCTTCAGATGCTCCCTTCCACTGTAGATATTCCCAAGCCCAGGAAGCAGTTAACATAATCATAAGATTTAATTTTCTTTTTTGCTTTTGGCAGGTTTATTACCAATACTCAATTTTTTTCAGAAGAAATCTTCAGAATAAGGGCCTAAATTGTCCTGCCCCCACATTTTCAAATCCTTACTATTGAGGAACAAGAATTGGGCAGCCTTGTCCTCCCACCATTGAATATGTCAGGTTTCGGTGCTATCTTAAATAAACTTCATTCTCAAGCACAAAGTCTCTAATGAATCACTTTTATTTTAAGAATAGCAGAATCCGACATTCCTGATTCAAGTTGCAGCCAAACTGGCCCCTCCTTCCAACCCCCTCCTCTTCCGCTCTCCAACCCCAATGTCCCATTGGCCATCATGCAGATCCATCTCTACATCCCGGCACATTCTTTTCACAGGAATGTGGCCCCCACCTCGTCACCCAGGAAACACTATCTGTAACATACAAAAAACTAGGTAAAAGTTCATCTCAGCAATAAATCAAGCTCCTGCTCTCTGCTTCCTCCCGTTCATGTCAGCGTTGGAAGAGAGCCTAATTTGGAACGCTGACAGAATACACATTAGTTCCAGGACTGGAATTGGTCAGTCCCTGGCCTCCGTTCCACTTCCATCCAATGTCAGGTATTCATGGGAAAACTCTTCCTGATCACTATCCTGAATGAGTGGCTTAGTTGGGGACTCAAGTCTTAATTTGTGTTATTTATGATTTGTTATTTAGACTAGAATAGAATAACAGAGTTGGAAGGGACCTTGGAGGTCTTTTAGTCCAACCCCCTGCTTAGGCAGGAAAACCTACACCACTTCAGACAAATGGTTATCCAACATCTTCATAAAAACTTCCAGTGTTGGAGCATTCAGAACTTCTGGAGGCAAACAGTTCCACTAGTTAATTGTTCTAACTGTCAGGAAATTTCTCCTTACTTCTGAGTTACTTCTCTCCTTGATTAGTTTCCACCCATTGCTTCTTGTCCTGCCCTCAGGTGCTTTGGAGAATAGCTTGACTCCTTCTTCTTTGTGGCAGCCCCTGAGATAATGGAACACTGCTATCATGTCTCCCCTAGTCCTTCTTTTCATTAAACTAGACATACCCAGTTCCTGCAACTGTTCTTCATATGTTTTAGCCTCCAGTCCCCTAATCATCTTTGTTGTTCTTCTCTGCACTCTTTCTAGAGTCTCCACATCTTTTTTACATCGTAGCGACCAAAACTGAATGCAGTTTTTCTTCTTTCAGTGCTAAGATGTCCCAGATAAATTGATAGATCTTTGGAAGAAAGAAAAGATCAGTCTCTCTATGCCTGCTAACACTCTTCTGCTACCCTGAGTGATGGGAGGAACATATTTGAAATACTCTTACACTTCAAGGCACAAAACTCTTATTTATTGAGCCTCTGGGCAGAAGTGAGCTTCACATAATTTAACAACCGGTTCGCCTACTGCAGAACCGAAAATGTGAGCATGTGGCTTCAAACACACGGCAATTTCATGCACGTGGCTTCCAGCACAACTTCTTGTGCAGCTGCAGTGAGTAGAGTGGGCAAGGTGTAGAAATCAGCTGGGTTGCATGGCTGGGGCGAGTGAGCCAGAGAGTGAGATATATAGGACAGGATAGCACCGGGGTGGGTGGACGGGACCAGCCGATGGTTGGAACTACCTGTACGAGCGAACCGGTCCAAACCAGCGCAGCCCACCTCTTCCTCTGGGTCTTTTTTCTTTCACCTCCTAAAACCATTTTTTCTAAGAATCACTTTTGATCAGGCTAAGGGCACCTTCTGTAGCCCACTTCCCACTCCATCAGTGGTGGGTTCCTCCCGGTTTGGGCCCGGTTCGGCCTAGCCAGTAGCGGTGACAATATGATGTCACCGAACCGGTTCTCTTTGTTCGGGAGCTGGGCCCTCCCGCCCCCTGCCCCCCCGCGTTATTCTTACCTTTTTACCCCGCCCCCCCGCATTATTCTTACCTTTTATTTGGCCCCATCCCCAATCTATTGCTGCCTCCTGAGTCCCAGCTGATCGGCTAGAAGGAAAAAATCTGTTTAAACTCTTGCCGCGGGGCTTCAAAGGGCCGCCCTACAGCTGATCAGTGTTAAAAGGCAGTGTGGTGGTAGACCGGTGCCTCCAAAAATGAATGAATAGACTGGTGCCTCCAAAAATGAATGAATAGACCGGGGCCTCCAAAAACAAATGAGTAGACCGGGGCCTCCGAAAACAAATGGGTAGACCAGGACACTGAAAGAACAAATGGGTAGACTGGTACAGCTCTGCAAGAAGTTAAAAGCCTGGTAGACCAGTACCTCTGCTAAATCCTAAAGAATTGTCACATGATCATCAAGCTACGCCCACAAAATAAGCCACGCCCACAGAACCGGTAGTAAAAAATTTTAGAACCCACCCCTGCACTCCATAATTATGTTGATGTGTGTTTCCCTTTTATGGTCTGGTTATACAAACCAACTGACAATACACTTCAACATTTCTCAACCTCATTGAATTTCAGATATGTGGACTTGAATTCCCAGAATTCCCCAGATATCATGGTTTCTGGAAGTCTGTTGAGATTGAGAAAAAAAAAACTGATGTAGACAAAAAAATCAAGTGGCAGAATTTGTGGCTGACAGATCAATTGATATTCCAATGTAAAACGAAAACCTCTAACCTTAAACTTAATAACCAATGTTTAAGGCCATTAGAACTCAACAGATCCCTATCTAGGAACAGTTCATCCCCTCGTTCACCTGGAATTACAGAAGATCTACTTTTTTTGGTGCATTATAAGACACACTATGGATCCTTGTATCAACTTCTGATTGAGGTGGCCTCTGAAGAAAGAAGTCATGATTAAGACACTTTGTGAGACAGAGATCTTAATTTCAGAGACAGCTGAAATACTTAGACAAATATCTTGTTTTCAGATGCAGCTCGCTGTGACCCGTGTCCAGAAAACCAGTTTCCTAACAAGGACAAGGATCAATGCATTGCCAAGATGCTCCACTTCCTTTCCTATCAAGAGACCCTGGGATACACTTTAGTTTCTCTAGCTCTTTTACTCTCTGTGATGACTTCTGCAGTCCTGGCAATTTTTCTTAAGTTTTGTGACACACCGATTGTCAAGGCCAACAACCGAGATCTCACATACCTCCTCCTGGTCTCCCTCCTGCTCTGCTTCCTCTCCTCCTTCCTCTTCATTGGTCAACCTGGGAAGCTCACCTGTCTCTTACGACAAACAGCCTTTTCCGTTCTATTTTCCCTTGCAGTTTCTTCTGTCTTGGCAAAAACTGTCATGGTGGTTCTGGCCTTCATGGCTACCAAACCAGGGAACAGGGTAAGGAAATTCTTAGGAAAACCACTTACTAACTCCATTGTTATCACCTGTCCCCTAGTCCAAGCAGTTCTTTGTGCCATCTGGCTGATAACTTCTCCCCCATTTCCCAACATGGACTTCCACTCCTTGGCAGGAGAAACAATCTTGGAATGTAATGAAGGTGCAACTTTAATGTTTTACACTGTCCTTGCCTACCTGGGTTTCCTGGCCCTCATCAGCTTCACTGTGGCCTTTCTAGCTAGGAAACTGCCTGACAGTTTTAATGAAGCCAAGTTCATTACTTTTAGCATGCTGGTCTTTTTCAGTGTTTGGATCAGTTTCCTCCCCACCTATCTGAGCACCAAAGGGAAGTTCATGGTGGCCGTGGAGATCTTCTCCATTTTGGCCTCTGGGGCTGGTCTTTTGGCTTGCATCTTTTTCCCTAAAAGCTTCATTATCCTACTGAGACCCCATCTTAACTGTAAAGAAAATATGATAAGAAACAAGAATCTCTAACTAATGCAAGGATAGGCCACTTTTATATTTGTCTTTGAGAGTTTTCATTAAATGGATAACATTTCTATAAAAAAAAAACATGAAGGATTTTGCCTATTTAATAATCATTTATCAAGTGCTATGTCTAGTCACAATGTACCACTTGTCAGCAACAATTACCCAGCCTTGCATGGAAATAAAGCTTGGTATTAAAGATATTGATCTTATTTCATGGAATGTATCTTCTCATTTTGTTCCTTTTAATGTAAATTTTAGTATGTTTGTCTTTTAAAGTGTTAAATTCATTATCAAGGTTTCAGAACATGTATGTTTCCATAAATTCCTGAGGCTTTGTACAATTGGAACATCTGTAACTGCCAAGTGGACTTCAAGGGATGTCCAATAGGGAATATGTTACAATATTCCAAATGAGAATTGACCAAGGCGTGATTGACAATGAGCAGAGCCAGATGTCCAGGATATGGCACAATTAGCATTCCAATCATACTGCATCCCTGGCATTAAATGGTCTCACCCAGGATTTTAATGTGGTTGTAGAAGAAAGATGAGGGACTTTAGTCCTAAGGCACCTCATACTTCAAGTGCTAAGGCTGAACTATTCTTCTAAACCATCTGGAACTGACTGCAAAGAAAAAAGGAAAACCACTGCAAGACAGTGCTTACCACTTCTATCCACCCAGGCCCAAATGATACCATTGTCAATGATATTGAAAACCTCTGAGAAATCTGGGAGAGTCAGGATAATGTCCCAAGGTCTACAAAGGTGATGAGCAAGTATGACCATGCTTTCCTAGTACTGAACCCTAGTCTGAGCCCAGAACTGAAAAGGATCCACAAAATCAGAGGTCAAATTCAGCAGGATCTGGCAGGTTCTGGAGAACCAGTAGTGGAAATTTTGAGTAGTTCGGAGAACCGGCAAATACCACCTCTGGCTGGCCCCATAGTGGGGTAGGAATGGAGATTTTGCAATATCCTTCCCCTGGAGTGGGGAGGGAATGGGGATTTTGCCATATCCTTCCCCTGAAGTGGGGGTGGGAATGAAGATTTTGCAGTATCCTTCCCCTGGAGTGGGGTGGGAATGAAGATTTTGCAGTATCCTTCCCCTGCCATGCCCACCAAGCCACACCCACAGAACCAGTAGTAAAAATTTTTGAATGTCACCACTGCACAAAATGGTGTGTCTAATCACACTTGGCCAAATAAAGTATGCAATTCAGTTCAGTTCAGTTCAGTCCAGTCCAATCCAATCCAATCCAATCCAATCCAATCCACTCCACTCCACTCCACTCCATTCCACTCCACTCTGGAGGACATATATGGGATTCCCCTAATCCTGTGACCACGGCCCACTATCGGAATGTGGCCTATTTGCAACTGGGCTGAGTGGTGGGCTGCTCAGCATGCACAGCTCAAGTCACAAAAGAAGCCGGATCCAGAGTTCAAGGCCCTACTCATGCTCACCGTGGGCAATGGCACTCATGGCATCACTCGCACAAGTGGTGGGCACACATGCCTGCCCCTCACACAAAACCATCCCCTCTTCTCCCCCAGCCACCTGCACTGGGTCACTAGGAAAGGTTGGGGAATGCTGCCCTAAGCAACTTTCTCAGACTGAAGAAGCTATTGGAGGCGGGAAAACATTTCAAACCAACAGGGAAAGAAACAATTCAGCTCAGAAGATGTGTTAGCAGCTACTGGCTTCTGAGAGGGAATTAGAGAAATCTTTGAAAAGGAAGGGTGATCAGTCTTGATGACTTAGTGTGAGGTTTTGTTTTTTTTTTAAATTTGATTTATATGCCGCCCTTCTCCGGAGACTCAGGACGACTTACAATGCGTTAAGCAATAGCCTTCATACTTTTGTATATTTTATACAAAGTCAGCTTATTGCCCCCACAAGCTGGGTCCTCATTTTACCTACCTTAGAAAGGATGGAAGGCTGAGTCAACCTTGAGCCTGGTGAGATTCGAACTTACAGTAATTGCAGACAGCTGGTATTAATCACAATGCTTTTAGTCTGTTGAGCCACCAGGCCCCCTGGTGTTGTGAGCCACATGCCTGCGTAGTGACAGGAGAGAAGAACAATAGTGAGTGCGGGGTGTGTTTCTCCCACTTGTAGTCAATGTAGAGATATCTGCTTGGGCATCCTGAAAGACAATGCTGAATTAGGATTGCTTTGGCCATAACCAAGAGAGCTATTATGGCTGCAAACTAAAAGTAATCATACAAAAATGTGTTTTAGTAGCTTAATTCAGTTTGATCAATGTCATGGTGGGCTCTGATATTGAACAGAGAAGGCCTCACTGAGGCATCTTGAAAATCAGGGGCTCAATTTGTCCCCTCCAACCAACACTGAGAGCTGGTAGCTCAGTTTCATGTACTGTATGTCAAATACCCAACTTCCCCTTAACTCTCAAGTCTATTTCCTCTGTGGATTACAAGAGACATAAACATATTTTTCCGTTTCTGGTGCACAATCACAATGTAATGCTTAAGTGAGAAGGATACTGCTTTCCCTTGCAATTATCAAAAGAACAGTAATTCCCAATGCATTCCCTCTGGATTTCAACCCCAAAAATTCTTACGACATAAACTTGCTTTACAAAAATATGCTCTGAGGTTTCCTTTTGGGGCAGATTTATGTCATATGTCACGTTACCTTGTCTTGCAAAGAACTAATTCCTGGGTTTGGTGAGACTTAGCTGGCCTTAGTTTCGACTTTGGTCAAAGCCCAAACACAGGTAAGAGAAAACATGATAGGTATAAATTTGCACCAAGAGCATCCAGGCTGCAGGCCAATCTCTACTCTGCTAAAGCTCTGTTGAGATTTCAGGTGCTCCCTGCAATTCATCTTCTGCAGAATCCTTGATTTTTGATCTAGGAGAGAAATTGGCCAGAATGATTGGGTTGCCTCTCCTGCTACTGCTGCTCTTCTGGCTCCTGCCTCCAGCTCATGCTAAGCAGATGCCAAAGATAGGTGTGTTGCCAAACACTTTCCAGATTCAGCAAGAATATTACAGGCCCGGTGATCTCATTATTGGTGGGAATATTCTCCTGTCAACTATCCAATACCTCAATATCCCAGACTTTAGTAAAGACCCATCCAAGATTACTTATAGTCTGGGGTAAGTTTCACCTGCAGCAGAAAGATATAGATGCTTTTTTGCTTTGTTTTAGACATCTTTCAGAAATACTCATTCCAGTGATCTTTGCATGTCCTTCTGTAGCTCAGATCTTTGTACTTTTCTCCATAAAGCTCAAGCTCAAAAAATATTGTCTCTTAGATAGTCAATCAGAATAGAGCTGGCAGGGACCTTGGAGGTCTTCTAATCCAAACCCCTGCCTAAGCAGGAGATCCTATGCCATTTCAGAGAAGTGACTGTCCAGTCTCTTCTTTAAAACCTCCAGTACAAAATCTAATAAAATCCTGGAACTGGAAGGGCCTAAAGCCACTTCGTCTTTCCAGGTTTCAGTTGAAGCATTTTTCTTCCCTTCCAGACCTCCAAAACTCCAGACACTGAGACAGGATATCAACAGTTTAAATGCTTAATTTGACAGGACCAAGAATGTATAGTTGAGTATCATTTCAATCACAATAGAAATGGAAGAGACCTTTTCTTCTTATTTTAAGAGGTCTTCTTACCCTATACCATTTCAGAGAAGTGACTGTCCAGTATCTTCTTCAAAACCTCCAGTGATGAAGCACCTACAACTTCTGGTGGCAAGCTGTTCCACTGCTTAATTGTTCTCACAGTTAGGAAGTTTCTCCTTAAATCCAGGTTGCTTCTCTCCTTGATTAGTTTCCAACCATTCTTTCTTGTCCTGCCTTCTGGTGCTTTGGAAAATAAGTTACTCCCCCTGTTCTTTGTAGCAGCCCCTCAAATACAAAGAATTCTATCATGTCATCCCTACTCCTTCTTTTCTTTAGACTGGCCAAACCCAATTCTTGCAACCGTTCTTCATATATTTTTGTCTTCAGACCCTTAATCATCTTCTCATCTCATAAGAGCCGAGATGGCGCAGTGGTTAGGGTGCAGTACTGCAGCTATCAATATAAATCATAAGGATACAAGAAACAAGATTACAGTCATACAGTCATAAATAGGAGGAGATGGGTGATAGGAATGATGAGAAGATTAATAGTAGTGCAGACTTAGTAAATAGTTTGACAGTGTTGAGGGAATTATTTGTTTAGTAGAATGATGGCATTCGGGAAAAAACTTTGCTTGTGTCTACTTGTTCTGGTCTGGCATATTGAAAAAATATGCTATCATTCTCAATCATTTTACAACTCATCATCAGAAAGATGATAAACAACATAAAAAGTGAGGAGGAATAAGACATTAGAAATTGTCCTGTTCTGGGAAAGAAGCTGACTTATAATATTAATTTGGACAAAAATATCATGATGGAAAATTCAAATAAAAGCTCAGTCATTTCACAATGTGGCATATTGAAAAAAAAAATAAAACTCAGTTTTGGAATCAACAGTTCTCTTTAATAATCTATGTAAATCTATGCTGTGACCCCAACCATACTTAGTAATGGTTTCCAGTCCTGAAGAAGCTACTCCAAGAGAGAACCAAATTGATTTGGGTTGTAGAAGAGCAATTGGGAAGGATTACAGACACTGCAGGAAAGTGAAGAAGCGAGGGATGACAGAGGATGGAAAATAGTTCATTATATGAATAAAAAGGCTTTTCTCCAATCTCACAAAACCACCCAAGTTTAATCAAGGTCTTTCCTTTAAAAGAAACACAAACACAGTAAAACATGGGACTTGCTGCTTTAAAGAACACCAATTTTAAGTCAATGCAAACTCCACCAGCACACAGAAGTTGTTCTGAAATGTTTCTCAATGATTTTCTCATGATAGGCCCATCCCCAAGAACTACCAGCAGTTCCTGACCTTGAAGTTTGCAGTCTCAGAGGTGAACAGGAATGGGGATCTTCTCCCCAACATCACCCTTGGCTTCCACATTTATGACAATCACCAGACTGAGAGGAATAGTTCATTAATCAGCCTCTCCTTGCTCTCCACTCATGGTCAAATGGTCCCAGGCTATAAATGTGGCATGAAGAACCCTCTGCTCTCTGTCATTGGAAGTGGAAACCCAAAATCCTCAAGGCAGATGGCCTCCATCTTCAGCATCTTCAAGGTGCCACAGGTAAGGAGGCTTCACTGCGCACAAAATGCGGCAGACACACTAAAGAAACACACAGAAGCCAAAGCCAAATTATTTGTGGGTGGGTAGGTGGCATATGAAGGGTATATGAATTAGAGAATCCATGCTTTTGCTCAATTCATTTTTATATTTTATGTGTCAGGATACAATTTTATACAGTATAACTCCAAAGACATAGGGAATGGGATAATTCAAAAATGCTGCACTTGGGAAATCCTTCCTGACTTTCACAAACAGTCTAGCCACCATTTCAGTGCTATTTATTTTCTGTGTTAGCTTAATACTTTCTTTCCTTGTGTTCTGACCTCTCACAACCAGGCAAAATATGTTATACTTCCCCTAAGAAGGGGAAGAGCTTTTTCTTGCAACTCAGGGTGAGCTACTCTAATTGGTGGCGCAATAACCAAACAATTGTGATCCCTAAAGTCTCCATAAAACTTTACTTGGTTTTTGAAACAAGTTTCTCACTTTCTCCAGCTCAGTGTTGGCTTTGACTTCTCTCAAGGAGACAGAAAAGATTATCCTTCCTTCTTCCGGATAAATCCCAATGAAATTCATCAGTATGTTGGTTTAGTCCAGCTGCTCCTGTATTTCCAGTGGAACTGGATCGGACTTATTCCCTCTGAAAGTGACAGCGGAAAACATTTCATCTCAACTCTGATGCCAATGCTCAAGGAGAAGGAGATCTGCCTGGCCTTCCCTGAAATATTCAATTATGATGTTGCTGTTATCAAAGTGGCTGGACCACTTATTTTGAAGATGTTCCAAGAAGCTGAAGTGATCACTCTGTTTGGAGACTCCATTATTATTTCTATGGTATTGCTCGTCCTGCTTGGTTATCGACAAGCCATATCATTTCAGAAAGTTTGGCTCCTACCTTCCTTTTGTGATTTTAGTGTGGTGGGAACAAAAGAAATATTGCAATTTAAAAAGTATTTCCATGGGGCTTTGCATTTTAGGGAGCACACCAGGGAAATCCCAGCATTCAACCATTTCCTCCTGTCTTTAGACCCTTTGAACCCAGAAGGAGATGACTTCCTCCCACTGTGGTGGGAAGAAATGTTTAATTGTGTAATCCACAAACCAGGAGCAATCCCTAAAAAATGGAAAAAGCAATGTACAGGAAAGGAGAATTTGCAGAATCTGCCATCTTATATATTTGAAACAAGCATGACAGGTGAAAGTTACAATATCTACAATGCCATTTATGCTGTGGCACACGCACTACATGCAATGCATGGATCAGGAAGACGATCAACCACGATGAGGCTTGGAAAGAGGATCTCAAATGTCCAGTCATGGCAGGTAATTCCTGTGATTTTTTCACTCAGGCCACAAATGATAGAAAGGGAGCTTCCATGTGCATTTCATCAATTTCATCGGGCCTAGCTATCTTTGAGACCGCCTGCTGCTACCGACGACCTCCCGTCGTCCCGTGCGCTCCCACAGAGAGGGCCTCCTCAGGGTGCCATCAGCCAATCAATGTAGGCTGGTGACCCCCAGGGGGATGGCCTTCCCTGTGGGGGCACCTACCCTCTGGAATCAGCTGCCCCCAGAGATAAGGAGAATCCAAGACCTCGGTGCCTTCCACCATGCCCTTAAAACCCACTTTTTCCAGCAAGCCGGGCTGGCTTAAAAAGAAATTTTAAATGTTTTAATTGGTTTGTATTTTTAATTTTGGGCCAAATTTATATATATTTTAATTGTTTTTTAATATTTGTATTTTATGTTTTTTAATTCTGGCTGTACACCGCCCTGAGTCCTCAGGGAGAAGGGCGGTATATAAATTTAAATAAATAAATAAATAAATAAATAAATAAATAAATAAATAAATAAATAAATAAATTACTGATTAAAGAAATATATGCTACTCTATCAACGGATGTCAAAACATATTAAAAGAGAAATTATTTTAAAAATGAGTTAAATATAATGTTTTATGTTTAACTCATGTTGAGAAGGGACAGAAGAGGGAAAGAGAAATAAAGCAAACTAGATGTTCATAAGATGCATAGAGGAAAGACCTTCCTATAACGTTCTGAAATGTCTTCAGCTATTGCCAAAGTTTCAGCAAGTGACTCTTTCAGCCCAGAGCAAGAGAGAAACCTGAGTGTGTTTGTGAATAATGTTTCAACAATGGTGTTTAAACAAGTCAGTTGAAGTCCCAGTCAAAATTCATATGGAATCACCTCAGTTTCCCTCAGTACGTACCCTGAATCCAACCTGGAAAGAGACAAATTCATTTTAACCTTGGTTTGTGTTTCTGTGGCTTCGCATCCTACATGACTCAACTGCACCTGTTTAGTTTACCATTTATTCTACAGTTCATCTTGTTGTGTGAAGGCAGCCTCTGTAAACTTCAGAACACACAGCAGTATGCCAAGTGATCCTAATGGGTTTTTGTTCTGAAATTTATCAGAATTTCAGCATCAGTGGTTGAATGCCCCAAAATAAAGACAAGTTTTGTCATGTTGGGAAAGGTGTCAAATATTTGGTGTTATTGCTCAGATCTCCACCTAGAAAACTCTTCTAGCTTTTCATCCATACATTCTGTCTCTTTAAATGATAGTCATTGCAGTGAGATTGGCCAGGATGTTCTCAAATAGGTCTCTGAATTGTTGAAAGTGTGGACACAAACAAGGGACATTCTACCACATGTGGTGGACCTGTCCTAAGATTAGGAAATTTTGGGGCAAGATTAAAAAAAACAAAAAAACTGCTGGATGAAATAACAGGGCAGAAGATAGAAAGAAACCTGGATCTGTTTCTCCTGGATATTCTGGAAGGGAAATGCAGAAAAGTATACAATATATCATATTACACAAAATATCGGCAAGTAGAATTGTGATAACACAAAATTGGAAACAACCAGACACCCCTCCAGATCAAATCATAATTAAAAAAAATATATGAATGTGCAGAGATGGACAGATTATCTATGGAAATGAAGGAGAGGGAAGACACTGAGTACTATTTAATATGGAATAAATGGTATTCCTGGTTGGAGCGTAAACATAAAATTTAAGTGATGTTTTTGTTACAAGTTCAAATTGTAAATAGAAGTCAAATAATTTAGATAAAGATGTAAGTTTAAGATACTGATATTTAGAAGTAGAATTTGTGTAAAGAGGTTAAATAGGCTAGAGATACCGATGCAGAAACGTTGTTATTAGTATTGAAATTTTGACATGTTTGTTTTTGGTTATTTATATATTTGTGTGTGTGTGTGTGTTTCTTGTTTTTTTGTGTATTATGTTTCTTTTTGTATTGTGTATTTTAATCTTTGGAAATTTAATAAATATTACTTTTTAAAAAAAGATGATGGTCATTGCAGAATGATAGAAACCCTGATGTCTTATTTGTAGCTCTAAGTCAAGTACTCCAATTTCTGAGTGTCTCTTTTGTTTCAGCTTCTTGATTATTTGAAGAAGGTCCAGTTCAACAACAGTGCTGGAGATGAAGTCTCCTTCTCAGAAGATGGACTGGGATCTGCTGGTTATGATCTTCTCAACTGGGTTCTCCTCCCCAATCGATCTTTTGTCCCCGTGAAAGTTGGACAGATAAATCCCGGTGCTTCCCCAGGCCAGGATTTCACCATCAATTCCAATGCAATCATCTGGGCCACAGAGGTGAGCCGGAAGGAAATTTTGAAAGTTCAGGAAAAGCTTCGTTCTCTTCTGGGGTTGCCCAACAATCTTCTAACTGGAAAACAGATCTAACTCAATCAGAAACTGTGGCAGATATTTTATGAAAAAGCTGACGGAAGCCATCCTGTAGCTTCAGTGTTGCCACACTGGAGCTCAGGGATAGGGAGTACAGATTAGAGAGAGTTGGGATTTTGTAGCCAAAGTAAAGTACTTTCTCTTGGGAACGAATGACATTGTTCTGTCCCCGTCTCACACACGCACACAAACAGTCAGCCAGGAGTTAAAATAAACTTGCAGACAATAATTTCCTTTGATAACAGAATTGGCAGCAACCCAGTAGCTGCTTGCCAAAAGCTTTACTCACAGAGGGAGGTGTTCCTCCTCCGTCAGATAAACCAAAATAAATTCACAAAGCCAAAGAATTGTCAAGTCCAGTCCATAATAAATCCAAGGAAGGCAGATAACGAAGTTCCAGAGACACAGTATGACTTGCTAGCTGTTCAGTTTTGTCCGTCACAAAGCCTGAATGGCCACCAGACCCCCTTTTATCCCCTGTGGGGTGTGGTCCAGTGACTCAGCTTAATCTCTGGCATGCCTCCGTCTCTGCTGCATGCACTTGTCTTTCTGATGCTGGCGGGGATCCAGCCAAGACTTATCTCCGTCGCTGTCTAACTGTGGCTGCTCGGAGATGCCTGGCTCCTGGCCTATCTCTTCTCCTTTGGGAGACACCTGAGGCATTGCCAGAGAGGAGGGTCCTGGAGAGGGAGGCTTTGCCAACTCCTCTCCTTCACTTTCGGAGTCTTCTCCCTCCAATAAGATGGGCTCAAGGGTTGGAGTCATAACAGACATTCTCACACCTGCTTGGGAGAAGAAGTGACGTCACCAGACAACCGGATGGCACCTTGACTGGACCATGTGACTGATTGGGGAGGGGGGAAGAACTTTTACTTTTAATTAGGTGAAATGGCAGGAACCTTCAGAGTTGGTTTTCACCAGCCTGTGCCAATATGACATATCAAATAAAACTATTCTTTGAGGAATCATACCTCTGAGGTCTGAGATTACACCTTTGAGGTCTCATTTGTAGGAGATCCATTTTCTCTCTCTCTCTCTCTCCCTACCTACCTATCACCCATCCATCTATCATCATCATCATCATCATCATCACCATCATCATCTCTCTATCTCCCTCCCTCCCTATATACATACATACCTATCATCCATCCATCCATCCATCCATCCATCTATCATTTATCATCTATCTATCTATCTATCTATCTATCTATCTATCTATCTATCTATCTATCTATCTATCTATCCCCTCCCTTCCTATCATCCATCCATCCATCCATCCATCCATCCAACCATCTATCATCATCGTCTCTCTCTCTCCCTACCTATCATCCATCCATCATCTATTTATCTATCATCTCTCTCCCTCCCTCCCACCCTCCCTATTATTCACCCATCCATCCATCCATCCATCCATCCATCCATCCATCCATCTATCTATCATCATCTCTCTAACTCTCTATCATCTCTCTATCTCTATCTCTCTATCACCTCTCTCTCTCTCCCTACCTACCTACCTATCATCCATCATCTATCTAGCTGTCTGTCTGTCTATCTAGCTGTCTGTCTGTCTGTCTATCTATCTATCTATCTATCTATCTATCTATCTATCTATCTATCTTATATCTATCTATCTATCCATCCTTCTTACCTACTTTTATTTATTTGTTAATTTTATATTTCACCCGTCTCACCAATAATGCAACTATAGGTAGTACAGAAACAATAAAATGATAAATACAAAAACAATTTTAATTAAAAGACAGGAAGTAATGGGATTGGAAAGGGCTTCCGCTTGAAACCCAGGGTACCATTAAGTGCAGGCAAGAATGTTTTTCATGGACCATTCCTGTTCAGTTGGACCATCATAATTCTGTTTAAGAAAAGACACTTAACTCAATGTCAAAAGCCTTCCTTTGTGTGACAAAGCCCCAGTAATAATCAGCAGCATCTATTGGTAGACTGAGAGTGCCACTGGTCTGCATCCCCCAAGAGCTGTTCCTGCTTTCTTGTAGATCCTGCTGAATTATTTCTTTTTAAAACATTCTGGAGATCAAAATATGAATGGGGAAGCGAATAAATGAAACATCTTCGTGGCTTAGACCTTCTCAAGCATTTCTCTTTTCTCTTTCAGAAGGTGCCCATTGCCAGGTGTGGCATGAAAAGGTGCCAGGCAGGAGAGAGGAGGAGAGTTCCAGAGGGAAAGCAGGTTTGCTGCTACCAATGTGACCCTTGTCCAGAAGGGACCATTTCTAACCAGACAGGTAGAACAAACCTGGGGAACCACATTTCATTGTAGATCTTCATATGAAAAATAAACTATGGCTATCAGATCTGTGATGGCTCCCTTACTTACTCCCTCACAATACCTTATTTATAGTTAACGCTTATTTATAGTTCTTATAATTTTTAATACTAGCAATCATTATTACATATTATTCTATGTATTCATTTGTTTCCTTTTTAATTAAGTATTTGATGCACAGTAAGATATGGATGGTATAGATGGGGATATACAAATGTGATAAAGAAAATAATAAACAAAATAATAAAATATAAAATAAAAAAATAATAAAATAAAATAAAATAATAATAATAATAAAAAAATAAAATAAAATAAAATAAAATAAATAAAATAAAATAAAATAAAATAAAATAAATAAAATAAAATAAAATAAAATAAAATAAAATAAAATAAAATAAAATAAAATAAAATAAAATAAAATAAAATAAAATAAAATAAAATAAAATAAAATAAAATAAAATAAAATAAAATAAAATAAAATATAGGGAAAACTTCAAACAATCAATCAGAATAGAGCTGGAATGGAGCTTGGCGGTCTTCTAGTCACACCCTCTACTCCAGAAGGAAGACCCATTACCACTTCAGACAAGTGGCTGGCCAATCTCTCAGAATGCAGGATCGGTCAAGGCTTGCTTTTTTATTTATTTTATTATTTTATTTATTTATTTGTCAAGCATGTATAAGATAACAGATATAAGAATAAACATGATTATAAATACAGGATTAAGATACGAACAAATGGGGACAGTAGGACAGGGACTGTAGGCATGTTGGTGCGCTTATGCACGCCCCTTACAGACCTCTTAGGAATGGGGTGAGGTCAACAGTAGACAGTCTAAGGTTAAAGTTTTGGGGATTTGGGGAAGTAACCACAGAGTCAGGTAGTGCATTCCAAGCATTGACCACTCTGTTGCTGAAGTCGTATTTTCTGCAATAGAGTTTGGAGCAGTTTACCTTATGTTTGTATCTATTGTGTGCTCGTGTATTGTAGTGGTTGAACTTGAAGTAGTCATTGACAGGTAGGACATTGTAGCAGATAATTTTATGTGCTACGTCAGAACATAGGTGGCATAGTTCTAAATTGTCTAAGCCCAAAATTTCAAGTCTGGTGGCATAAGCTTTCTGTTGAGAGCAGAGGAGTGGAGGACTCTTCTCGCAAAATATCTCTGGACTCACTCAATTTTATTAATGTCCGATATGCAGTGCGGGTTCCAGACAGATGAGCTGTATTCAAGAATTGGTCTAGCAAATGTTTAATATGCTTAGGCTATCACTGTGGTTTTTCATAGTCTCATGACTTATGTTCTTATGCTGCTGTTGTTTGTAATCCTGGCAGGGCAAGAGAAATAAATGGCTGGAATAATAACCAGGAGAAAAAAAAAATGGCTTTTATTAAATGCACTGTGATAATTTAAAAAATTGTACCTGGATAAAGCATAACACATGGTAAATAACTGAATATGAATTTGCCTCATATTCAAAAAAGAATATCAGAATGTAGAGATGGACGATGGTATCCAAAATCAGATTGTTAGGATTTTTGGAGGTGGGGGTGGGGAGAGTCACAGCAAGAACTAACTATGTCAAACTGGACTGAAAATATAAAATATCCACCTTCCCACTACTCCTTCTCCTCCATTCCCACCTCCCCTTCTCCATTTCTATGCATTTGACCAAATGGGGAATCCCTTCCCTGATTCAGTGAGATTTCTGAAATGGAGGTGCTTTCTGAGGATTTATAACTCTAATGAAATGTAGAAGTTACATCCAACACGAATCTTCCTCACATGTTCCATGTTGTGACCCAGCCCCCAAACTTTGCAGGGAAATCTCTCCTCCGAAAGGACAAAGAAATACGGAGAGACCTCTGCAAATAGGGCCGGAAGCAGAGCTCTTCATCATGGCAGACGCAGCTGAAAAAACTAAACAAAGACTTTTGATTGCAGATGCAGCTCACTGTGACCCTTGCCCAGAAGACCAATACACGAACAAGGAAAAGGCCCACTGCATTGCCAAGAAGCTCCACTTCCTTTCCTATCAAGAGACCCTGGGATGCACTTCAGCATTTCTTGCTCTCTTTTTCTCTTTCATCACGTCTGCAATCCTGGTCGTCTTTCTTAAACATCGTGACACACCAATCATCAAGGCCAACAACCGATATCTCACCTACGTCCTCCTGGTCTCCCTCCTGCTCTGCTTCCTCTGCTCCTTCCTCTTCATTGGTCGACCTGGGAAGCTCACCTGTCTCCTCCGACAAACTACTTTTGCCATTCTCTTTTCCCTTGCAGTGTCCTCTGTCTTGGCAAAAACTGTCATGGTAGTTCTGGCCTTCATGGCCACCAAGCCAGGGAACAAGACAAGGAAATTCTTAGGAAAACCTCTGACCAACTCCATTGTCTTAGCCTGTCCTCTGGTCCAAGCAATTCTTTGTGCCACCTGGCTGATAACATCTCCCCCATTTCCTAATGTGGATTTTCAGTCACTGATTGGAGAGGCCATCGTGGAATGTAATGAAGGTTCAACTTCAATGTTTTATGCTATCCTTGCTTATCTGGGTTTTTTGGCCCTCATTAGTTTCACTGTGGCCTTTTTGGCTAGAAAATTGCCTGACAGCTTTAATGAGGCCAGGTTCATTACTTTTAGCATGCTGGTCTTTTGCAGTGTTTGGATCTCCTTCCTCCCCACCTACTTGAGCACCAAAGGGAAGTTCATGGTGGCTGTGGAGATCTTCTCCATTTTGGCCTCTGGGGTTGGTCTTTTGACTTGTATTTTTTTCCCCAAATGCTACATTATTTTATTGAGACCCCATCTTAATTGCAGGGAAAATATGATAAAAAACAAGAATATCTAAGTAATGCAGGGGTAGGCCACATTAATATTTGTCTTTGAGAGTTCATTAAAGGACTTCAAATTTCTAAAGAAAATCATGAAGCAGGATTTTGCCTATTTCATAATTATTTATCAAGTGCTATGTCTACTCACAATGTACCACTTGTCAGCAACAATCATCTAGCCTTTTGTGTTCCATGTCTTCCAGTTACTCCCAGTGAAGCCCAGTGCCTCCCATGAAAATAAAGCCTGGTGTTAAAGATGTCTACCTTATTTCATGGAGTACATCTTCTCATTTTGTTCCTTTTAATGGAAATACTTAACATGTTTGTCTTTTAAAGTGTTAGGTTCCTGATCAAGGTTTTGGAGCACATATGTTTCCATAAATTCCTGAAGCAATTGGAACAACTGTAGCTTTCAAGTGGACTTCAAGGGCAGCCCAAGGGTGAGAATGTTACAATAATCCAAATGAGAATTGACCATGACTGACAATGAGCAGAGCCAGAAGTCCAGGATACAGCACAATTAGCATGCTAATCATACTGTATCCCAGGATTTTAATGTGGCTGTAGAAGGAATATGAGGGACCTGACACTTCAAATGCTAAGGCTGAGCTATTCTTCTAAATCAACTGGAACTGACTGCGTAGAACAAAACCAAACCACTGCAAGTGCTTACCATATCTATCCACCCAGGCTAGAATGATACCCATGTTAATGATATTTAAACCACTGAGAAATCTGGAAAAGTCAGGATAATGGCACCTCTCTTGTACCATGATCTGTAAAGGCAATGAACAAGCATGACCAATGCTTTCCTAGTACTGAACCCTGGTCTGAGCCCAGACTGAAAAGGATCCACAAAATGGTGTGTCTAATCACACTTAGGCAAATAAAGTATTCAGTTCAAGTCAAGTCAAGTCAATTCAATTCAATTCAATTCAATTCAATTCAATTCAATTCAATTCAATTCAATTCAAGTACAATCATGGGAACTGGCCTTTTTTCTTTTCAATATACACATATGTTTCCATAAATTCCTGAAGCAATTGGAACAATTGTAGCTTTCAAGTGGACTTCAAGGGCAGCCCAAGGGTGAGAATGTTACAATACTCCAAATGAGAATTGACTAAGGCATGACTGACATTGAACAGAACTAGAAGTCCAGGATACGGCACAATTAGCATGCTAATCATACTGCACCCTTGGCATTAAATGGTCTCACCCAGGATTATAATGTGGTTGTAGAAGGAAGACGAGGGATCTGAGTCCTAGGACACCTCATACTTCAACTGCTAAGGCTGAACTACTCTTCTTCTCCTTCTCCTTCTCCTTCTCCTTCTCCTTCTCCTTCTCCTTCTCCTTCTCCTTCTCCTTCTCCTTCTCCTTCTCCTCCTCCTCCTCCTCCTCCTCCTCCTCCTCCTCCTCCTCCTCCTCTCCTCCTCCTCCTCCTCCTCCTCCTCCTCCTTCTTCTTCTTCTTCTTCTTCTTCTTCTTCTCAACTCCCACCCACCCAGGCCCAAATGATATTAATGATATTGAAAACCATTGACAAATCTGGAAAAGCACCAGATAATGGCACCTCTCTTGTACCATGATCTGTAAAGGTGATGAGCAAGCATGACCAATGCTTTCCTAGTATTGAACCCTGGTCTGAGCCCAGACTGAAAAGTATCCACAAAATGGTGTGTCTAATCACACTTAGGCAAATAAAGTATTCAGTTCAAGTCAAGTCAAGTCAAGTCAAATCAAGTCAAGTAGAGTCATAGCAACTGGACATTTTTTTTTCTTTTACTGTTTGTTCAAAACATTTCATTGCTTATCTAAGTAAAGGGTATAAATGTTCCAACTTTGAAAGATACAAGTATGTGGTGTTTTCCAAATATTTGTTTTAGCTTTTCCAATATACTCGCCATGTAAGGAATGACCAGATTCTACCATTGATTCTGAGTCTCAGCTCTGTTTGCTGTTCCTTTGTTGGATCCAGATGATGATTTGTTAAAGGCCCCATTCTACAGGTTCACCAGGAAGCCTCACTTAATGACCCACCTAGGGGAAAGATTTAGGAGTTGGGACATTTAAATCCCAATTCTGCTCAATCAACTGATGAGCTTATTCATGATAAGAGAAAAATGATACCACTTTGGAGGACATATATAGGATTCTCCTAACCCAGAGGTCCCTAACCTGTGGGCTGCAGCTCACCACTGGACCTTGGCCAATTTGCAACTGGGCTATGTGAGAGGTGGGCTGGTGCTCTTGTATTCACACACAGCCTGACTCATACAAGAAGTGGGCTTCAGTGTTCACAGCCCCACTAGCACAGACAGCAGTATTCACTGCCCCACTCATATGAGCTGTGGGCACACAAGCTGCCCCTCACACAAATGAATCTCTCTGTGTGTGCATGCACCTGCCCTTCATACAAAACCATCCCATCTTTTCCCCCTCGCCCCTGCATCAGGCCGCTAACCTGAAAAGGTTGGGGAACACTGCCCTAACCAACTTTCTCAGACTGAAGAAGCTACTTGGAAGCAGGAAAACATTTAAAATCAATAGGGAAAGAAACAAAGTCCAGCTCAGAAGATGTGTTATCAGCTACGAACCTCTGAAAGGGAATTAGAGAAATCTTTGAAAAGGAAGGGTAATCAGTCTTGATCAGTGATGGGTTTCAAAATTTTTTACTACCGGTTCTGTGGGTGTGGCTTGATGGGTGTGGCATGGCTTGGTGGGCGTGGCTTGGTGGGCATGGCGGGGGGGGGGGATACTGTAAAATCTCCATTCCCTCCCAATCAGCTGGGACTCAGGAGGCAGAGAATAGATGGATGTGGGGCCAGTCAGAGGTGGTATTTACCGGTTCTCTGAACTACTCAAAATTTCCGCTACCGGTTCTCCAGAACTGGTCAGAACCTGCTGAAACCCACCTCTGGTCTTGATGACTTAGTGTGAGTTGCGAACCACATGTCTTGGCATAGAAGAGGCAGGAGAGAAGAACAATAATGAGTGAGGGGTGTGTTTCTCCCACTTGTAGTCAATGTAGAGATATCTGGTTGAGCACCCAGAAAGACAATGCTAAATTAAGAAGGCTTTGGCCATAACCAAGAGAGTTATTATGGGTACAAACTAAAAGTAATCATTCACAAATGTGGTTTAGTAGCTTAATTCAGCTTGATCAATGTCATGGTGCGTTCTGACATCAAACAAAGAAGGCCTCACTAGGGATCTTGAAAAAAAGCCTTGGTAGTACAGTGGTCTAAGGCACCCTGTTATTAAGCTGGTTATTAAGACCAGCTGCCTGCAATTACTGCAGGTTGGAATCTTGCCAAGGCTCAAGGTTGACTCAGCCTTCCATCCTTTCTAAGTAGGTAAATTGAGGACCCAGTTGTGGGGGCAATAAGCTGACTTTGTATAAATATACAAAAGAATGAAGGCTATTGCTTAACGCATTGTAAGCCACCCTGAGTCTCCGAAGAAGGGCGGCATATAAATCAAATTAAAAAAACAAAAACAAAAACAGAGGTTTGGGCTCAATGTGTCCCCTCCAACCAACACTGACAGCTGGTAGCTCAGTTTCATGGACTGTATGTCAAATACCCAACTTCCCCTTAACTCTCAAGTCCATTTCCTCTGTGGATTACAAAACACATAAACATATTTTTCCCTTCCTGGTGTACAAGGACAATTTAATGCTTAAGTGGGAAGGATACTGCTTTTGCTCGCAATTATCGAAAGAACAGTAATTCTCAATGCATTCCCTCTGGATTTCAACCCACAAAGTTCTTACAAGATAAACCTGCTTTACAAAAATATGCTCTGAGGTTTCCTGTTGAGGGAGGATTATGTCATATGTCATGTTACCTTGTCTTGCAAAGAACTAATTCCTGGGTTTGGTGAGACTTAGCTGGCCTTAGTTTCGACTTTGGTCCAAGCCCCAAAAAATAAGAGAAAACATGATTGATATAAATTTGCACCAAGAGCATCCAGGCTGCAGGCCAATTTCTACTCTGCTAAAGCTCTGTTGAGATTTCAGGAGCTCCCTGCAATTCATTTTTTTTTTTTTTAAATTTGATTTATATGCCGCCCTTCTCCGGAGACTCAGGGCGGCTTACAATGTGCTAAGCAATAGCCTTCATACTTTTGTATATTTATACAAAGTCAGCTTATTGCCCCCACAAACTGGGTCCTCATTTAACCTACCTTAGAAAGGATGGAAGGCTGAGTCAACCTTGAGCCTTGGAGAGATTCGAACCAGCAGTAAATTGCAGGCAGCTGTGTTAATAACAGGGTGCTTTAAACCACTGTAGTACCAAGGCTCTTTTCTGCACAATCCTTGATTTTTGATCTAGGAGGGAAGGTGACAAGAATGATTGGGCTGCCTCTCCTGCTACTGCTGCTCTTCTGGCTCCTGCCTCCAGCTCATGCTAAGCAGATGCCAAAGATAGGTGTGTTGCCAAACACTTTCCAGATTCAGCAAGAATATTACAGGCCCGGTGATCTCATTATTGGTGGGAATTTTCTCCTGTCAAGCATTCCTTATTTCAAGGACCCAGACTTTAAAACCGACCCATCCAAGATTCCTTCTTCACTGTTGTAAGTTTCTCCTGCAGCAGAAAGATATAGATGATTGTTTGTTATGTTATAGATTGAATATCTCCTTTCAGAAATACTTATTCTAGTAATCTTTGTAGGTCCTTGTGTAGCTCAAATCTTTGTATTTATCTCAATAAAGATCAAACTCATAAAATATTGCCTCTTTGTTAGACAATCAGAATAGAGCTAGGAGGGACTTTGAAGGTCTTCTACTCCAAAAACCTGGTCAAGTAGGAAATTCTATACAATTTGAAACAACTGGTTGACCACTCACCAGAGCCATGGTGGTGCAGTGGTTAGAATGCAGAATTGCAGTAACTGACTTCTCCTTAATTCCAGGTTGCTTCTCTCCTTGATTAGTTTCCAACCATTCATTCTTGTCCTCCTCTTTGGAAAATAAGTTGACCCCCCCTCCTCTTTATGACAGTGAGATGAACTTAATGAGATGGATGGCATGTTAATTTAGCCAATACATTAAAAAAATATACTATAATTCTCAATTGTTTTACAACTCATCGTCAGAAAGATGATAAACAACATAAAAAGTGAGGAGGGATAAGACATTAGAAATTGTCCTGTTCTGGGAAAGAACTTCAATTATAATATTAATTTGGACAAAAAAAACATGGTGGAAAATTCAAATAAAGGTTCAGTCATTTTACGGTGTGGCATATTGGGAAAAAAAATAAAACTCAGTTTTGGAATTAGGTAGTCAATCAGAATAGAGCTGGGAGGGATCTTGGAGACTTCTAGTCCAAGAACCTGCCCAAGCAAGAAACCCTATACCGTTTCAGAGGAGCCTCTTTTTCAAAACCTCCAGCACAAAATCTGATAAAATCCTGGAAAGAGAAGGGCCTAAAGCTCAAATCCACTTCGTCTTTCCAGTTTTCAGTTGAAATCTGTTTATTCCCATCCAGACCTCCAAACCTCCAGACACTGAGACAGGATATCAACAGCATTGCTTAATTTGACAGGACCAAGGATGGATAGTTGAGTGTTATTTCAATCAGAATAGAGCTGGTAGGGACCTTTCGGAATAGAATGAATGAGCTGGGTGGGACCTTGGAGGTCTTCTAGTCCAGCCCCTGCCCAAGCAGGAGACCCTATTTATCAGAGGGTCTCAGAGAAGTGACTGTCCAGTCTCTTCTTCAAAACCTCCAGTGATGAAGCACCCACAACTTCTGAAGGCAAGCTGTTCCACTGATTAATTTACTTCAGGAAGTTTCTCCTCAATTCCAGATTGCTTCTCCTCTTGATTACTTTCCATCTATTCTTTCTTGTCCTGCCCTCTGGTGCCTTGGAAAATAAATTGACTCCCTCCTCTATGTGGCAGTGTGATGGACTTAGTGAGATGGATAAATTAAAAAATAAAATAAAATAGGCTATAATTCTTAATCTTTTTTAGAACTCATCATCAGAAAGATGAGAAACAATGTAAAAAGTGAGGAGGGATAAGACATTAGAAGCTGCCCTGGCCTGGGAAAGAAGTTGACTTATAATATTAATTTGGACAAAAAAACATGGTGCAAAATTCAAATAAAACTCAGTCCAGTATGGCATATTAAAAGCTCAGCCTGATATGGCATAATAAAAATAAAACAGTTTTGGAATCAGTGGTGCTCATTAAATATCTATGGAAATCTCTACTGTGACCCAAAAATGGAGTCTTCTGCTCAGCAGTGGTTTCCAGTCCTGAAGAAGCTACTCCAAGAGAGAACCAAATTGATTGGGGTTGTAGAACAGCAATTGGGAAGGATTACAGACACTGCAGGAAAGTGAAGAAGCAGGGGGAGGGAAGAGGATAGAAAATAGTTCATTATATGAATAAATAGGCTTTTCTCCAATTCCACAAAGCCACACAAGTTTAATCAAGGTCTTTCCTTTACAAAACAAACACAAACACAATAAAACATGGGACTTGCTGCTTTAAAGAACACCAAAATAAGGCAGCACATAGTAGAAGTTGCTATGCAATGTTTCTCAATGATTTTCTCACAATAGGCCCATCCCCAAGAACTACCAGCAGTTCCTGACCTTGAAGTTTGCAGTCTCAGAGGTGAACAGGAATGGGGATCTTCTCCCCAACATCACCCTTGGCTTCCACATCTATGACAATCATCAGACTGAGAGGAATAGTTCTTTAATCAGCCTCTCCTTGCTCTCCACTCATGGTCAAATGGTCCCAGGCTATAAATGTGGCATGAAGAACCCTCTGCTCTCTGTCATTGGAAGTGGAAACCCAAAATCCTCAAGGCAGATGGCCTCCATCTTCAGCATCTTCAAGGTGCCACAGGTAAGGGGGCTTCACTGCGCACAAAATGCGGCAGACACACTAAAGAAACACACAGAAGCCAAAGCCAACTTATTTGTGGGTGGGTAGGTGGCATATGAAGGGTATATGAATTAGAGAATCCATGCTTTTGCTCAATTCATTTTTATATTTTATGTGTCAGGATACAATTTTATACAGTCTAACTCCAAAGACATAGGGAATGGGATAATTCGGAAATGCTGCACTTGGGAATTACTTTCTGACTTTCATAACAGTCTGGCCACCATTTCAGTGCTATTTATTTTCTGTGTTAGCTTCATACTTCTTTCCTTGTGTTCTGACCTGTCACAACCATGGAAAATATGTTGGCTCTTCCTAGGAAGGGAAAGAGCTTTTGCTGGCTCAGGGTGAGCTACTCAGGGTGAGCTCCTCTAATTGGTGGAGCAATAACAAACAATTGTGATCCCTAAAGTCTCCATAAAACTTTACTTGGTTTTTGAAGGAAGATTCTCACTTTCTCCAGCTCAGTGTTGGCTTTGACTTCTCTCAAGGAGACAGAAAAGATTATTCTTCCTTCTTCCGGATAAATCCCAATGAATTTCCCCAGTATGTTGGTTTAGTCCAGCTGCTCCTGTATTTCCAGTGGAACTGGATCGGACTTATTCCCTCTGAAAGTGACAGTGGAAAGCATTTCATCTCAACTCTGATGCCAATGCTCAAGGAGAAGGAGATCTGCCTGGCCTTCCCTGAAATATTCAATTATGATGTTGCTGTTATCAAAGTGGTGGGACCACTTATTTTGAAGATGTTCCAAGAAGCTGAAGTGATAACACTGTTTGGAGACTCCATTATTATTTCTATGGTATTGCTCGTCCTGCTTGGTTATCGACAAGCCATATCATTTCAGAAAGTTTGGCTCCTACCTTCCTTTTGTGATTTTAGTGTGGTGGGAACAAAAGAAATATTGCAATTTAAAAAGTATTTCCATGGGGCTTTGCATTTTAGGGAGCACACCAGGGAAATCCCAGCGTTCAACCATTTCCTCCTGTCTTTAGACCCCTTGAACCCAGAAGGAGATGACGTCCTCCCACTGTGGTGGGAAGAAATCTTTATTTGCAAAATCCACAAACTGGGAATGATCCCTCCAAAGGGGACAAAACTATGTACAGGAAAGGAGAATTTGCAGAATCTGCCATCTTATATATTTGAAACAAGCATGACAGGTGAAAGTTACAATATCTACAATGCCATTTATGCTGTGGCACACGCACTACATGCAATGTTTGGATCAGGAAGACGCTCAACCATGATGAGGCTTGGAAAGAGGATCTCAAATGTCCAGTCATGGCAGGTAATTTCTGTGATTTTTCACTCAGGCCACAAATGATAGAAAGGGAGCTTCCATGTGCATTTCATCAATTACTGATTAAAGAAATATATGCTACACTATCAACAGATGTCAAAGCATATTAAAACAGAAATTATTTTAAAAATGAATTAAACATAATGTTTTATTGAGAAGGGGCAGAAGAGGGAAAGAGAAATAAAGCAAACTAGATGTCCATAAAATCCATAGAGGAAAAACCTTCCTATAAGTAATGATTTCAGCTATTGCCAAACTTTCAGCAAGTGACTCTTTCAGCCCACAGCAAGAGAGAAACCCTGGGTGTGTTTGTGAATAATGTTTCAACAATGGTGTTTAAACAAGTCAGTTGAAGTCCTAGTCAAAATTCATATGGAATCACCTCAGTTTCCCTCAGTACGTACCCTGAATCCAACCTGGAAAGAGACAAATTCATTTTAACCTTAGTTTACCATTTGTTCTACACTTCAGCTTGTTGTGTGAAGGCAGCCTCTGTAAACTTCAGAACACACGCAGCAGTATGCCAAGTGATCCTAATAGGTTTTTGGTCTAAAATTCATCAGAGTTTCAGCATCAGTGGATAAATGATGGACCTTCCTGGGCAGTGTAGTGACAAATCAGAGTAGGTACCAGGGCAGGTTTTTCCAATATCATCATCTTCTTCTTTTAACGACCCCATAATCCCTTGTGTGGTGGAGATTGGGCAACTGAATTGGCCAGTGGTGGGATTCCGCCAGTTCGCACCACTTCGGGAGAACCGGTTGTTAACTTTCTGAACAGTTTGGTGAACTGGTTGTTGGAAGAAAACATTAGGGCAGAGAATTGGTTGTTAAATTATTTGAATCCCACCACTGGACCTAGCAGAGTGTTTACTGGCCAAATGCCCTTCCTGTCGCCAATGCAGAGTTTTCTTCAGCAGATATATTCTCATTGTGCCCAAAGAGACAAATATCTGCCTCTACCTAGGATCGATCTCACAGCCTCCTGATTATGAGGCGAGAGCTCCACCTCTAGGTCACTGCAAAACTTGGTTCTTCTTTCCATATGGTTCCATTTATTCTGACCCAGTTCCTGCATTCTACTCTCATTGAATATCAGCTAGAGAAAGTCAGTGGAATTGTACCCTGTGGTGATAGAAATGATTTAATCATTCCTAAAATGCATTTGTTATATACAACACTTTGGGCGAAAGAAAAATTTACAAATGTACATAGCCAAGTATCAAAGGAGCACAGCCAAACAATTTCATTTGGAATGTGACGTTAAAATATTTGTATAGAGGTATCATACTGGTAAAAGTGGAATCGAAGTAACCAGGATACAAATGCCCCAAAATAAAGAGAAACTTTTGTCCTATTGGTGTTTGGTGTTACTCCTTATTGCTCAGATCTCCACAAAAACCCTCTTGTAGCCTTTCATCCATAAATCCTGTCTCTTAAGATGATGATCATTGCAGAATGATAGAAGCCCTGATGTCTCATTTATAGCTCTAAGTCAGGTACTCCAATTTTTAGTGTCTCTTTTGTTTCAGCTTCTTGATTATTTGAAGAAGGTCCAGTTCAACAACAGTGCTGGAGATGAAATCTCTTTCTCAGAAGATGGACTGGGATCTGCTGGTTATGATCTTCTCAACTGGGTTCTCCTCCCCAATCGATCTTTTGTCCCTGTGAAAATTGGACAGATAAATCCCGGTGCTTCCCCAGGCCAGGATTTCATCATTAATTCCAATGCAATCATCTGGGCCACAGAGGTGAGGTGGAAGGAAATCCTGTAAATTCAGGAAAAGATTCATTCTCTCCTGGGATTTCTTTTGAAGACATTCTGAAGATCAAAATATGAACGTGGAAATGAATAAATGAAAAACATAGGACATCTCAGTTATTTGTCTTTTCTCTTGTAGAAGGTGCCCTTTGCCAGGTGTGGCATGAAGAGGTGCCAGGCAGGAGAGAGGAGAAGAGTTCCAGAGGGTGAGGAGGTTTGCTGCTACCAATGTGACCCTTGTCCAGAAGGAACCATTTCTAATCAGACAGGTAGAACAAACCTCCTTCCATTGTAGATCTTCCTGGGATGAAGAAACTGTGACTATCAGACCTGGTAGTCCCAGAGGACTTGTATGGCTCCCTTACTGGGGGAGAAAAGTCACGCTACCTCACATGATGACAATGGGATGCTGGGAGTTTGATGCCCCTGTTATAGCTTATTTATAGTTCTTATAATTTTTAGTAATGGCAATCACTATTAAATATTATTGTATGTATGTATGTATTTGGGTTTTTTAAACAAATAATGTATTTCAGTGATTTTCAATTTTCAAATGTTTTTCAATTTCAAATGTGTGGACTTCAACTCCCAGAATTCCCCAGCCAGTATGCTGGGAGTTGAAGTCCAGACATATGAAAGCTGCTGACATTGAGAAATATGAATGTAGACAAAAATAAAATATCAGGATTTGTGGCTGACGAATCTATTGGTATGCCAATGTAAAGTGAAAACCTCTAACCTTAGCCTCAATAGCCAATTTATAATGCCATTAGAATTCAATACATTCCTGTATATAACCAACTCATCCCCTAGTTCATCTTGAACCAAGGAAGATCTGCCCTTTCTGGTAGATCATGAGGTATTCTATTATTTTCTTTTTGAGTTGTCCCCTGTAGATAGGGATCACAACTGTGAGAAACAGAGAATTCTGTCTGGGCAGATACAGCTGAAGAAACTAAACAGAGTTTTTACTTCAGATGCAGCCCACTGTGATCCCTGCCCAGAAGACCAATATCCCAACAAGGGCAAGGACCACTGCACTGCCAAGAAGATCCACTTCCTTTCCTATCAAGAGACCCTGGGATACACTTTAGCATGTCTTGCTCTTTTTCTCTCTTTAATCACATCTGCAATCCTAGTGGTTTTTCTTAAGCATCGTGAGACACCAATAGTCAAGGCCAACAACCGAGATCTCACCTACATCCTCCTGGTCTCCCTCCTGCTCTGCTTCCTCTGCTCCTTCCTTTTCATTGGTCGACCTAGGAAGCTCACCTGTCTCTTCCGACAAATGGCCTTTGCCATTCTATTTTCTCTTGCAGTATCCTCTGTGTTGGCAAAAACTGTCATGGTAGTTCTGGCCTTCATGGCATCCAAGCCAGGGAACAAGTCAAGGAAACTCTTAGGAAAACCACTGACCAACTCCACTGTCTTAGCCTGTCCCCTGGTCCAAACACTTCTTTGTGCCACTTGGCTGATAACTTCTCCCCCATTTCCTAACTTGGATTTCCACTCCTTGGTAGGAGAGGCCATCTTGGAATGTAATGAAGGCTCAACTTCAATGTTTTATGCTGTCCTGGCCTACCTGGGTTTCCTGGCCCTCATCAGTTTCACAGTGGCCTTTCTGGCTAGGAAATTGCCTGACAGCTTTAACGAAGCCAAGTTCATTACTTTTAGCATGCTGGTCTTTTGCAGTGTTTGGATCTCCTTCCTCCCTACCTATCTGAGCACCAAAGGGAAGTCCATGGTGGCTGTGGAGATCTTCTCCATCTTGACTTCTGCAGCTGGTCTCTTGGCTTGTATCTTTTTCCCCAAATGCTACATTATCCTACTTAGGCCCAATCTTAACTGTAGAGAAAATATGATAAGAAACAAGAATGTCTAATGCTGGTACTGCTGGAACTCATGAGATGAAGGAGGCATTTTTCCATTAATAATTGGCTATTAAGTGTGTCACTGGTCACAATATATCTGGTGTCATCAACATTAATACAGTGTTTTATTTTCCATTCATTCCATTTATCCCCAGTGAGGTCCAGTTCTTGAATGGAAATAAAACTTGCTATTAAAATTGTGTTTGTTATTTCATGGAGGACATTTTCGCATTTTGTTCCTTTTAATAGAAACTTTTAACATGTTAATGTTTTACAGTGTTGGGTTCACTATCAGGATTTTGGAGCAGGTATATTTATGTCAGGGTCTTCATCATCAACTTGGTGCCTTGCTGGCATCCTGCCATCAAAGGGGAAGGGAGGGGGAGGCATTTGGGGCAATCCACACCAGTGTGTCAATTCACAAAGCATCCGTGGCCTGCTCTTGAGTTGCCATAGGAAAGGGGGATGGGAAACTGATGAAGCAACATGGCACGGGCACATTCCAGACATATCTTTCTCAAGGCTGTCTCCCAGGGTTACCCATAGCGGCCGGAGAGGAGTGATCTCTACAACCTGGTAAATTGCTCCTTTGGCTAATGTGATTGATGACATACCCTGGGTTATCATTAGGGCTGTAAATTACGTGGGATCAGAGTTGGCTTCATTTGGGTGTGTGCCGACATGGAGCTCCTAATAAATAACTGGATTTCTTTTGAAATTTGGCTTGAGGCTCATAATTTAATCAGGGCATCTGTCGGAACCCTGGTACTGTGTATCTAATGGTGGGAAATGGGGAGGGGGAGCTAGCATGTAAAGAAGACCAGAGCTGTTTATACCAGTGATGCCAGGCATCTTCAAAGCCACTTATCATGGGTGTGAGATTCCAGCAGCCTAAACAAGCCAGGATTTACCACAACGTGGGATTGGGTGGCAACGTACCGTATGTTGGAGGAATGGATGGGGAACAATGGATTTGGTTCTTTGTATCACTGAGTGGGAACTTTAGATTCTGCCTCATCTTCCTGCAGCCAACATCTTTAGTAAAAGTCCTTTTCATCTCAATCAATTGAAGTCAAGAGACTGATTGTTTGGGGACAGGTCTGACAATACATGTAAGGCTACAAGTTTGTGTTAGTGTCTCTGTCTTCATCTGGGCAGCTTCTGCACAATTCCCTGAGAGTGTTGTCTGCAAGGAATGAAAGATATGGAGAGCTGTACTGAGTTTTAGCTCTGTTTTCTTTGTTCATTTCTAATACAAAACATCCATCAGTTAATGTTTAAACAATTAGAAGGCCAATAAAATTGAGAGCAAGAGTTCAGACACCAAATGTGTCTCAGAATATTTATTTTTAAATAGGTTAGGGCACACGAGAGTAGATCTGTTAGAGTGTGCACAAGTCTACCACATGTATCAACCCAGGAGCAAGTACAGCAAACAGTGGTTTGTATCAAATAGTGGTTTTTATCTACAATAGGAATATAGGAATAATATACATACACATGCTACAAGCAGTATCTAAACAAACAGCATTTACAGCAGGGAAGAAACTCAACTAATGAACCAAACACTCTAGCAGGGCTTCCACTTACTACACAGGTTCTTAAAGGGATAACAGCCAAAGAACCTGCTGACTTATTCCCATCATTGCATCTGCTGGTCAGTGTTAACTTGCAAAGCTCTCAAGTTGCCATGAGCAGGAGGGAGGGAGAACTGAAGTGAATTCCATACATTCTTCTGACCGCAATCAGAAGGAGGGCATTAGGTTTCACAGTCAGCCAAAGTGGTTAATTGGAGAATGTGATTTATGACATGGCCAGAGAGGAGGGGAGAGACAGGGTCATAGGGGAATGTAAATCTATGTAGGATTAGTCCTAATTGCATCCCAGTATTGCCGGAATGGTGCTCCTAATAAATGACTATATTTCCTTTGAAGTTTGGATCATGGCTCATGAATTAATTAGGGCATCTTTCGGAAACTTGACAGTCAGCTCTTAAATTATCACCTTGACAAGATCGAATATCTGAGGGAAAACTATAGATGCCCAGGAAGACACCCAGATAGTACAACAGTCCCAGGCATGGCAGGGCAATATCATGCAGTACCAAAAATGAAAAGTTCCAGTCTTGGGAGGACCAATCATCCACAGCTGTGTGGTTTTGCTAGGATTCAAACTGAGACTGTTTCTCCCCCATCCAACACCTTGAAGGCACTAGGACAAAAAATCAACAGTCAATGGCTGTACAATTGAATATCATCTGCATATGGATGATACCTGACTTGGAACTGAGAAGACCTGACGGAGGCACCTTAGCAGTAAAGTAAAAAGTAAAGTAAAGACAAAAGTAAAGTCTTACACTTAGGTAAGAAAAACCAAAAGTACTCTTATAAACTGGGTGAAACCAGGCTTAATAGCAGTGACTGTGAGAGAGATCTTGAAGTCTTAGTGGACAACCAGCTAAATATGAGCCAGCAGTGTGCAGCAGTAGCCAAAAAAGCCAATGCAATCCTAAATTGCATTAACAGAGGGGTACAATCAAGATCAAGGGAGGTACTAATACCACTCTATAAAGCCTTAGTAAGACCACACCTAGAATCCTGCATCCAGTTTTGGTCACCACACTACAAAAAATATGTTGAGATTCTAGAAAAAGTGCAGAGAAGAGTAACCAGGATGACGAGGGAACTGGAGACTAAAACATATGAAGAACTGTTACAGGAACTGGGCATGGCTAGTCTAATGAAGAGAAGGACCAGAGGAGACAAGATAGCAGTGTTCCAATATTTGAGGGGCTGCCACAGAACAAGCTATTTTCCAAAGCACCTGAAGGCCAGACAAGGAATAATGAATGGAAACTGACCAAGGAGAGTTTCAACCTAGAAATGAGGAGGAACTTTCTGACAGATAGATAGATAGATTTAATTTAATAAAGTAAGGTTTGAACGAACTTTGTGTGTGCTGCGTTCTTTGGGGTCCGTAGCTGGGGCAGAACAACTACAGTCAAGGGGTTATAGCATAAGCAAAGCTGGCTCTGAGTATTCCTGTGGAAAGACTGCATTTTTCACCTTCCCTGGGTCCTCCTCCACTCGACAAGTTCATCACTGTCCAATGATATTCAAATCAGATGTTTTGGGAACAGCTCTTAAGTTTGGCATCACTTTGGTGGAGTTATACATTCTGATCTCTCAGCTCCGTCCTTGATTAGCTGGTCTGTTTCAAACTGACACCTCTGTTCCTGACATGTTGTCATTCCCCCTCTTTACTTCTCCAATCTCCCCCCCCCCACCTTGTGTTTTATAGCAGGATGCCAATGAAAAAAAAGCTGAGGATTACAGGCCTGACAGATGGTATCTTTCGCACAACAGTCAACAATGAAGAAAACCCACTTCTTAAGAAAAACACAGCACTCAAACTTTTCTGTCTCTAACTAGTTTTTAGGCAACACTCCTGTAGAGTTAAGGCAGACTAACATCTTGCAAGAGTCTCCTGCCTATTGTAAAAGACCTGTTTCTGTCTCCCTTAAGATTTTTATTTCTCTTTTAGGGGAAATATTTTATCCTGCCTTTTTAAATATTTCTCAAAATGTTTCATTCTTCTAGGAGGGGGTTGGCATTGGAGAAGTTGGAAACAAACTTTTCATCCCTTGCCATGTGCATTGGATCTTCAGGCCTTCCAGATTTACTACTGTGGGAAACTGGGAGGGGGGATTGTATGGAGCCAGGGTGATATATAGTCATAATAACATTCCTTTCTCAGAAAGTCAAGGTCATCTTGCCCTGCAACTGGATGGTTGGAACTAGGAGGAATCTCCAGTTGGGACGGTGCTTTGATTGGACCATGTGATGGACATGTGGGTGCTGGGCAGAGACATGGACTTTCCTTTGGGTGGGGAAAACCTGGAAGCTTTCAGATTCGGGTTTTCCCAGATGTGCCAATATGACATCTCTAATAAAATGGAACTTTGAGGAAACTCAAGCCTCGGAGTCTTCTTTCATTGGGGGTGTTACTTGGAACCCTGACACACACTTACAAAAGTGCAACCGACTGCCATGTGCCATCATGACCCATTAGCACTCACACTACCTGAAGAAACTATGGAACAGGCCAAATTCCACCTTGAGTGCAGGTGTTCAGTTTCATTTAAGTGAATTACTCACTCAACCTTGACTCTCAAGTCCAGCTGCTCTGTGGATTGGCAGCAAGGGACACAAACGTGTTTTTCCTTTTCTGGTGCACAAGCAAAATGGAGTGCTAAGTGGGTGTGACTATTGCTTTCCCTTGCAATTATTAGGAAAACATTAGTTGTTAATATATTCCTAGTGGATTTCAAGCCACAACAATTTTCCAAGATAAAATCTATTTTAAAAAATATGCTTAGAGTTCTCCAGGTGGGGGCAGGCCATGCCACATCACCTTGCCTTGCAAAGAACTAATTCTTGGCTTTGAAGAGACTCAGCTGCCCTTAATTTTCTCTTTGGTCACAGCCCAAACACAGGTAAGAGGAAGCATATTTGATGTATTCCCCCCCCCCAATCCATCCAGGTGGAATGCCCTGGGTTTATCTGTTAAAATTTAAAGTGATGCCTGCAATTCAGCTTCTGCACAATCTTGATTTCTGATCTAGGAAGGAAGGTGACAAGAATGATTTGGCTGCCTCTCCTCCTGCTGCGGCTCTTCTGGCTCCTGCCTCCAATTATTGCTAAGGGGATGCAAACCCTTTGTGTGCTGCCCCAACGTTACAAGATTGAGGAACACTATTACAAGCCTGGTGAGCTCATTATTGGTGGAAATTTGCACTTGGGAAACTATTGGGACCCTTACTTAGACTTTAACAAAGACCCATACCCGTTTTCTCTCCCATATTTGTAAGTTTTGCCTGGAGGACAAATATCCAGGAGATTATTTGCTGTGTTTTCTCAGAAATATTTATTCTTGTGCTATTTGAACTTTCCAGTGCAGTTGGAACATCTTTGTGTTTTTCTCTATGAAGAGACAAATTGATAAAATAAACTAGATGTTTGATCTTTCCAAAACTCTTCATCAGGAAGGCAATAAACCACATAAAGAGTGAGGAGGGACAACATTTTAAGAAGTATAATAACTTTATTGTTATTGTACATGTATACACAGTATAACCATTCAACGAAATTCACTTAACACCCAAAGACCAGGTCCAACACACATAACAATCCCCAAACACACTCCCA